TTTATTGGGGGTAGACTAGAAGACCTTGAGAAAAAGTCATCTCTCAGACAACAGTCTTTTCCCTGAAATTACTCTTCTGTATTGTGAGAATTTCTTTAGAACTGAACACTGAGTCATAGTTTAAAAAACAAGTGAGTAATCGCTTGTTATTTCAATTTCTCTAATAGTGAAAATTATTTAGAAATATTTTATGAATATTTATGTAACGAAAAAAATACACAGGTACATAAAGAACATTTGAGTGGTTTTCCAGCATAAGTTGATGAGTATCAGCAGAAAAGGAAAAAACCAGTATGGTGGGGTCAGAAGTCAATGGCTAAAAAAATGCAACATTCAATATATGTCAGTTTCCTACAAGGTGAACAGTTTAATTTTCAAAAGATTGGTTTTCAATTTTGAACTCTATTTTTTTCATTGAAATATTAGTGTTCTATACTGTAATACTGCACAATATTTCATTTGGGATATTTAAATTAGTAGTTCAACATACCTCATAGGACTGTAAATGCTTTGCATCAGGTAACACACTCTTAGTAAGATCAACTCAGTTTTTGAGCCCAGTTTCTTTGGAAACGTAAAGGAACAAAAGAAATAAACAATATACATAAACAGTCTGATAATACTGCAGAACAAAACCATACAATAGGCAGTGAAAAGCTTAGAAACTGGTTTCTGTAACACTTTAGTATAACAGGAGGTGAGATAACTGAAATTGACTTGGTCCTGTACTTTAATGTTCAGATACCTTCATGAAAGTCAGGTTTCTAATGTTCCTAAGAACAATAAATACAAGTACATTTTTTACCTATGTGTTCCTTAAGTAAAAAATTAGCAACATTATATTCATATTTATGAAACCTCCTTTTTTTCATATCCAATCTATTAATATCTCCTTTTCTAAGTTCTTGATAAGAATTGCAATCACTGAATAGTCTTGATGGTTATACCTACATCCAAATGTATTTTGGGTTTCTTTTTTCTGTTCTGTTTTAAACACAGCCAGATAGAGCAATAGAGAGATTGTGTGAGGGAGAAGTCTGTAGTCAGATGGAGGCAATTAATAATTTTTAGGTCACAATTTCCATATAAATAAACACTTTTGTGTAATTTCAAAACAATTTTTCATGACAATAATATTTTAGGACAATAAATGTCACCTTAAGTCTGTAAAGTAACAGAGGCACCTGTGTGAGAAGGCATCTCTGGAGTTATATTTCTTAAAAGGTAAGAGTATTTGCTGGCATAGAGTGTATAGTAATCTATAACTTCTTTCTTGCTATTCTATGTTAATGTAAATAGATTTCCAAGTTGTCTTGGAAAACTTTCTGCTAACAAGGGAATTTTGTAATCCTGAACTAAAACAAGATTTGTTTCAGATATGTGTATATATATATATATATATATGGAGATATATATATAAATATGGAGATATATATATAAATATGGAGATATATATATATGGAGATATATATATATATATATATATGCTAATACATGTAACTCAGATAACTTCAGTAATATTAATTTATTTTAATTCCCTTGCAACCTTAATATATGTGATATTGCTAAGATTGGCATGTGATGTCAGAAAAAGCTTAATCGACTGTGGTAATTTTAAAGTACTGACATTTTTTACTACAGCACCCTGGCATTACATTGGCAAAGATACTTTATGTATTGAAATTCTACACAAATTACATGCAAAATGTAGTTCTTTCATGTGTCAATATACTGCCTATGGCTGTAATTATACAATGTGCACACATCACTTTAATAACATAGAGGAAAGTGGCAGTGCCAGAAGATTCTCTTCTGTTTGCCATAATTGCTGCCATTAGTAAAAAGGAAAAAAATGCATTTGCTTATTCCATCAAAACAAGTTACACAGTATTGAAGGAATAAGAGTTATATAGCTGCATTACCCAGTATGATGTGAAGTTCAGCAGGGGTCTTGCTAAAATTATGTCTACATCCTCTCCCATTCTACTGTAAAAATAAAATAAAGCCACTTGTCATGTTGGTAGGGCTTGTGGAAATGCCCTTGTCATCTCAGAGTGAGTCCTTAATAGAGTTTTCCTATTCCTACACAATTTCTTCACCAATCATTTGAAACCCAGTAAATTGCAGAGTGCAGTTATCCATGACATTTGTGAATGGGCAACTTCCTTTTGTTCCCACAGCAGGTGTGAAGGTGGGAGACACCAGATAAGCTGCAGTTAGTCTCACTGGTTCACTTAAAATTAAAATTAACTAACTAAACCCCTGGAACTAGAGAGGTCTTGCTGCATGTCCTATGTCTAGTTATGCCATTTCTAAATTGTCTTCATTCCTTTTCACTAAGACCATAAGTTGCTGCTGTATGAGCTTTCTAAATCATAAAAGATTGTATCTGTGGGTGGAAAAAAATTTATATGGAGTTGTCTGGGATCATGAATCTGGTAATGAAATCAAGTTTTGAGAAGTTCATATTTTTGTCACTCTTCTTTTTATCTTATTTCTTCTTTTACTTTTTTTCCCTGGGTCATAAACCTATGCTGTCAGCAATTAGTTGCTTTCTTGCAAGTACCCCAGCATGGTAATTGTTCAGACTAATTTTAAAATTTTGATTTTTTTTTTCTGAAGATTCTTGATCTCAGATCTTTGCTTTAGCATGCCAAGTTATGTAAGTAAGTGTAAAATGGAATAATATTTTTTTAATTATTTATTTAATCAGAAAATTTCTCCTACCTTTGGTTTTGCTGTAGAGAGTCTGTTAAAATATCTGTTGTCTTGTTAGAATGCTAGTGTACTTTACTCTGAGTTACCCCAGTTCTCCAGTTCTTCTCAAGGTTTTCTTCCATGCATATTATCATTCTACAGTAAATGGAGATTCTCTGGATTATGAGTATTGTTCATGGAGTTTTTTCCACTTTATCAAAATTGTCCAAAAAGCACGCAGTAAAGTCTGAGTGAAAATGTTAGTCTCATAACACATGATTAGAATATTAGTGATAAGTGCTTTGGGAGGTTTTAAGATATTGAACTGTATAAATGATTTTTTTTTTCTGTGTATCAGTAAATTTCTAATGGGCATCTAACTGGATAGCTCTACAATTGTTGTGGTCCCATTTGATCAGTTGGCACAGCTTTGGGATGGATGAGTAGTGGGGGAATAATGCTGCTGCACAAGGGTTTGGACAAAAGACTTAGCAACTGATGCCAGCAATTACTTCAGAAGAAGTAATCCAAGTGCTGTGTAGACATAATAGTTCTTTAAGGACAGTGGCATGACTGTGGAAACACAGTGTCAAGGGTAAAAGCAGAGGGTGAGCCTTGAGTCACTGTCAGTGATTTTTCCACCACTGAGAAGCTCATTTCCAAGCCAGGAGAGGTTTGCAGCACTTAGTCATAAAAAGAGAAGTGAATTCCCCTTTGAGATCAGCCATTGCAGCCTGTACCAATTATCTGTTGCTTTGTAATGTACTGAATGTTTTCTTTTTTTTACCACTGCTCTGTAATATAAATATTAAAGTAAGTTGTAGCCAGTATTATCATGCAAATCTCTTAGAAGCTTTCCATAGTTATGAATCATCAAATGTGTTTTTAAATGTTAGCTTTTCTCAGTAAACTGAAACAATTCACCCTCTGTTTGTACACTTTAATTAGATGGAATGAATTCTTAGTTTCAGTTTGTAATTATACACAAAACATCAAATTATATACAGATAATCCTATTCTATGTTTGTTTGGAGATTAAGCAATCCCCAAAATTAAATGCTGGAAGCTATTCCCCCATTATCTGAGGAATTATTTTTATTAGTGGAACAAATCTGGACATGGTTAGCTTTGTTTGACAGAACAAATTATATGAAAGCCAGAGGAAATGCATATTATCATGTGTTTCTGCTTTTCAGTCATTCTTATAAAAATATTTATATGAAAAATATCTGTAATTCTTGTTTTTATAAGGTGGTATACTTAGAAATGTTGGTTTGATAAATATCTTTGGTAATTTATGAAATAAAATAGAATATTTAAAAGTAGGACTGATTTTTAAAATACTCATCATTACACAAGAATCTGTACATGTAATTGTACTTTTTGTTTATGACAGCATTTATTTACATTTTGTATTTCCCTCAAGCTGGCGTTGACAGTTGAATTCTTCTATAGTCAGCATCAGTTGTCAGTTCTGTCTTGCTAAACCAAGGCTCTTCCCTTTGAGCTTACCACCTTGTAGGAGACATTACAAACATTTTAGAACCCTGGATATTTTATTAATCTAGCTTTAAAGAGAATTATAATGTTTCTATTACTACAGGCGTGCTGCTTCACAGGGTTTGTTGGGCCAGCTGCGATGATAGTCCTCCATAGTGGCACGGAAGGTTTGAGAGGTGGGAGAATGATATGACTGGTGTGCTGCTGGTCTCTGTAGAAGTCTGTCACTTGTGATGGTTTTCACTAACTTCCAGTGCAGAAATATCGTAGTAGTGTGGTGATGTAAATGTCAACTTCGTAACAGTGTCCCTCTGGAAAATCTGAGTGGGTGGGCGACAATTTTTTTCACCACAGGCTGAGCTATCCCAGCTTTTTCAGTCGGTGGAAATGTGACATAGGATAAGTGGGGATGAAAGAGGCTGTTCTGTATGGGCAGTGTTTTGCAAAGAGAAAATATAATTTTTCTATGGATTTGCTTGAAAAGATTTCTATTTCTATTGTGTTCTCATATTTTTTAAAAGTAGTAATATTTTATTGAAAAAACAAAATTAAGGTTTGTTGTAGTATTGATCAAATAATTTAGTAACACAGGGAACAGTTATGAGTGCTTGCATATATTATCCATCATAAAGCAATACATACTTTAGTAGATTTTATACATCTTGTACTTCTAAAATAGACTGCTTACATAAAAAGATAACTACTAGAAAATATGAAATAAATTCAATAATGCAATGCTTAGAACTTGGAAGTACAAGAAGAACGTGTACTAATTCCTATCCACCTCCATTGTTACCTTAAGGGCAGCTCTCTCCATAGCAACTGAAAACTTTTCAAGGCAGCAATAAACTAATCCTCTCCAGCTTCCAGAGCACCATCAAGGAATTTTAAAAACATTGGACTTTCAGCAGCTAAATACTTCTGAGGATTCAGAAGGCCACAAAGCTAGATACTCGAGCATTCTTTTTCCCTTCAGAAGGTAAGAAAATAACATTTAGAAATAAATGCTCATAATATCCTCATAACAATGATACATATTCCTAACACTAAAATATATCTAAACACCAAAAGATTTCCTAATATCTAAAAACATACTAACTTTTTTTTGGACTAAATGCCCGTTTGAATTCAGCAGTTCTTTTTGAATTTTAAATACTTCGTTAGCAAAGTTTCCTTTAAAATAAGATGTGCATCATATTGCAGTTCAAAAGAGATGAATGTATATGTGGTTGTTAAACACATACTTTACTATCTGAATATGTATGTCACTGCCAGCATCTGCCCATCAATAAAATCAAAACTTCTGAGGAAAACAGAAGTGGAACTATTTTATATTTCTTGTGCTTCGATATCGAGATAGTTTACTGTGAAAGCGGAAGGGGTGGTTTATTAGGAAGGATTATGAAGAAGAGAGATTTATAGTACAAAATGTCTTTTGCACCTAAAGTTAACAAGTTAAGCTTGTTTGTCTTGTTTATTCACTGAGTTCTTTGAGTGAAATTACAACCTCAGCTTTGTAATTCTTCCGTCTGACTAGCGATCACTAATTTTTAAGTACATCCTGTTCCTTCTTTCTTTGTGAAGAATAGCTGGAGTTTAGTGATGTTGGTAAAGTGTTTTGACAATATAACCTGCTTTATATTATTGCTATGTAATGGAATTTTTGCACATTCATAATAGTATTAGACTAGCAATATTTATTTACAGCTACTTTTGTGACTAAAAACCTGTTTTCATGATGAAATGAAAGCAAAAGCCATGGTATTTTTCTATTCTTACTGAAAAGAATTAGTAGGGAGTGCAATAACATAACACTGAAATGAAAGCCATAGACTTTATTTTTAAGAAGAGGGAAGGGCACTTTGAGACAACCTCTTATTGGTAATTCTAAAGAAGTTTTGAGGCCATAGTTGTCTTAGTTTCCTGCTGTTCTGTGCTGTAAAGTCCTTACAGGCTCCCTGTTGTTCAAAAACAGCTTGTCACTGCAAATCAGCTTAGCCGACCAATTAATAAATCCTTTCGAACATATTGCATTCGCACTAATTAAAGGGTTGGGGTTTTTTTCCCCTTTACTATTCAGATTCTTCAGGTTTCCAGTTTAAGCTGTGCAGCGCAAACAACAATCCAACACTCAGTGCAGATCACGCACTGCAGGAAGAGGAGATGTGTTTTCTGACCAAGCATCCAGCTCTTGGGGTGGTATGTTCTGCTTTCATATTCAGCGTGCTCATTGCTGAAGGACAGCCTGGGGAAGAGCATGGGCAGGATGGCAGCAATCCTCCCAGCAGAGGCTCTCTGGTGGAAGTTTTACGCGTTCTCTCAGCTGAAAACACTGAGCTCCACATGAACCACTCACGAGAACTGGTCAAAATGTTACTGGAGAGAGCTGAATGCCCACAGCGGATTTATGGCATGCAAGAGGATTGTAATCTGGTTAGTGCTTCAATTAATGAGGGATATCTTTACAGGATCATCAGTGAGTTCTAACATTTGTTTGAGTATACTGTCCTGAATATGATACCTAAACATGTAAAAAACTTGTTGCAGCAAAAAAAATTTGTCCCTGCTTTGATTCATTTTGAATTATTATTATTTATGCTTTGAGCTCATGAAGAGATATTCCAAACACGACAGGCAGTTCTTTTAAAGTTCCCAAGTGTTTGTTTTCCAGCAAAAGTTTTTCTGCTGATACCTTGTATAACAATAAAAGCATGAGCTTGAATTTGGGGCATAGAATTTCCACCATGGAAAGGCATAGGTAAACCCTGGGGACCAGTTCTGCCACTTTTTTTGTTGTCGTTCTGGATTTTACTTCATAAAAATAAAATCCAGACAGGATTGTCTCAGATTTATGTGCTACTTCACTGAAATATTCAAGATTAAGGGGAGGGTTTTGTAAGCAGTTCAGGTCAAGGAAAATGAAAGGCGGAACAATGAATCTACAAATCCAAATTGAAACTGGAAGTAGTCCAGGGTACAGTTGCACAGAGGGATTGGCTGTCTACTTGAGAATATTTTCAGAACTCAGTCCTGATTCAATGAAGAAAGACAGGGACAGTGTTACTGAGCAACTCGGCTAAAAGGGACGACAAAGGGCTTGGTCAGCCTTGGCTTTCATTACTCTGGCTCTGGCACTGCTCAGTGACCTACATACAGCAGTGTCACTTTATACCACACTTAGGAAGATGGTCTGAAAGGTGAATGTTTTTACAAGGTGCTGTTTTCAGCAATCTGCCAAGCCAATGAAGTGGGAATCTTTTTATCCTGTGCAGTAGACAGCTGCTCACTATCTTGACCCTTTCTAAAAATGCTCCAGTTTTTCATATGAAACCAAATGTGAAATTTCATACGTAAATATTGTAGGTGCCTGTCATTACCTAAATGGATAATTTTTTATGAAGGAGATTATTCACACATGGGCAATGAATATGCATCAGATACATGCCCAGATTGAAAATTAACATAATAAACATGGCTATATAGTCCTCCCAAACTACAGAAAACAGGGGACTAAGTTTTTGGTCACCCTTTTGTTTTTCTTCTCTAGTGGCATGGTTTTTTCTGGTATTTGTGATGCATTTCTGGAGAGCTTGTTGGTGTCCTTGGATGGACAAAATCGAAGGGAAACTTAGCTGGGGCTTACTTTGTTCAGTAGTGCTACTCTGTTCAGGCTTCATCTTGGAAATTTTCTATAGGAAGACTTTGAGAACTTTCACCATTTTCAGTATTCCTCAGTGTCTTCTGAGTCTGACACACTGCATGCATCCTGCACTGTCAGTGTTTCTATGCCAGCACCAGAGGCACGTGGTTTTCTGTAGGAAATCCTTGAGAGAGAGGTGGCATTTTCAGTCACATGGTGTGCACTTGGTACTGTGCTGAAATCTTCCATGATGATTTAACAAGATTTGGTAAACCAAGAGAGCAAAAACTGTGCAAGAAGCACTACCCTTCAAGTACATCAAAATTTGAAACATAATGTCCCCCCTTGTATTTTCTTCCTCATACTTGTTGGGAATTGCTAATTCATTTCAGATTCAATTTCCCTTCTAAATCCAGGACTGGTTTATACCACATGACTTTGTTTTCAGATTTTTTTAATTTTTGTTTTTATGATATCTCTAATGGGCATTTAAAAGTAGTGAAGTTTAATCCTTTCTTTAGACCCTCTTCTGGTTTCTTGTTATATAGTGGTCCTAAGACTCTTTGGGCAGGGGCTGGCAGCTGTTGGATGGCATCTGACATTTCTTTATCTCCTAAGCAAACAGAAGTCATATATTCCTTGCATTGGTAAACAAGTTGTTTGTTTTTTTTTTTAAACTTCTGGCCACTTAAAGAAAAGAAACTCAGACTTCAGTGCCAAAGTTCTGGGCTTCTTTTTTGTTTAGCTTTTCTAAATCAGGGACAGATGGTTATTCCTGTAAAAATATTAGTAGCAGCAAAACCCCGCCAAACTAAAAAACAAATGAAAAAACCCAACCTGATGACCAACCATTTTATATTCTCTTAATATCACTTCAAGGGTCACTCACCATGGGCTACCCATATACTATGGAGTAGCTGTATCTTTTACAATGCATCTGCTTCCTCCTGATTGGCAATTTTCTTTTCAGTCATCTTCCCTGCAAGAGCAAACAATGGACTCACTGATTGCAATTTATCCTCAGTGGGTTTTAAAATCTTACAGAATTCTTTGAAAATCTTCCACTTCATGCCATATGTTTCTTGTATTACTACTGAGTGTTCATAAAGGCTGGTTGACTGACTTGAGGTCGTTGGGACAGAAAAGAAAATAGACTCCTCCTAGTCAAAAGAGTTATTCTCAGAGACTGCATTAGGAAAAGTTAAAGACCTTAATAAGCAATGAAGGCAGGAGAGGACACAGTGAGCCATACTGTAATCTAGTTTATTTATGTATATAAATAGTTAATTTGGCTATTAATGCTTACAATTTTACACTTATTAAAATCTGCACTCAGATGTAAAGCGTGCACAGGGTGAATATGTAATTTCAGTCCCTCTTGAAATGCATTTGAAGGACTAAATGGGGTTGAGACCTTGTGCTGGCTCTCTGCACTGGATCTCATTGTTGCAGTTAACAGAATTCATTGAGAAACATAAAAATAGCTGTGTGATTACAGGCTCAATTACGTCTCTCAGCAGTGCATTGAATATGGTATAACTTCTGTTTACATAGCCTCAATTAACTACAGTTCAGCAATTGTTTTTATCTTATCATGTAAACACATATAGAATGCATAGATGAAAATATGAATAGGCCTAGCCCTTATCTTATATATTTGTAACCAGAAGTATAATCTGCCCTAGCCAGTGGAAGCTTTTTGCTCTCTACATTGATTGATCAGAATTATTCCTAATTGTAGGGAGTCTTAAACCACTAAATCATAGAATTACAGAATAGAATCATAGAATGGTTTGACTTTGAAGGGACCTCAAAAATCACGTAGTTCTGTATGCCTTACCATGAGCAGGGGCACCTCCCAATAGACCAGGTTGCTCAAAGTCCCATCTCTAGGACACTTCACTTTCCTTAAAAATTAAAGGGGCTCTGGAAAAAACCCCATGGTGTGATCTTGCAGCCATAGGACTCTGAAGAATTACCTACACCCTCCTCCTGCCATTCCATCAGCCTGTATTTGTGAAGTTTTGGGTTCGATCCCTTAAATATAGAACTTGTATTCTCTCATTGTCCTTCCTATCTGTATTTGCAGATGCCTGGAAGGCTGTCACTTGAGTTGAATTTCCATTTATTTTTATTTCTTCACAGTGCCTTGAACCAGATGCTTTGTTACTGATAGCTGGAGGAGATTTAGAAGATCATCTCAGTGAAGAAGTATTTGAGAGAATTTCTCTTATTCTTCTCTACTACATTCTTCATCGTAGAGATATGTGTTCTTCAGAATTCAGTTTGAATGATAAGGATTACAAATTTTATCTACAGAGTATGCTTAGTTTAAGACATGATGAAGACTGTTATTATTTTTCACGGAATGAAACTGAAGATATTTTAGCTGCAGTAAGGCAACATTTTAAAACTTCTGAAAACCAGGTAAAGAAAACATATGTAAAAATAACTTCATCTTTATTACAGGTCTGATACCTTTATGCTAGTACAGAGACTATGCCAGTACCAGAAGACTGGTAGGTGGAAGTGTCCAAGCACAGGCTGAACACTGGGATTGTGTTGGCTGTGCTGCTTAATGCTTTTCTTTGAGTTGTTTCTGGCATGTGCCACTTCCACATGGTTGGTGAAATACTGCTCTTTAGGGACCATTCCTAATGGGTAATTTAGATGCAGTTGCTCTGCTTAGGGCAGATGGAAAAGAGCACAGCTGTGTAGATGCAATATCTTGCACTTGGCTCCAAGTACAGAAAATACTTACTCATTTCTGATATTTCTTAGCATAGATACACTACCAGTGATCTATGAGATCTAGTTGACATAGATCTATCTATAAGGATCTATTTGAGATCCTTATCTCAAATAGGATCTATAAAATAATAGAATAATATTATAGAGTTCAAAGTTGAAGCATTTCAGTGGTATGAAGTAGAACAGATCCATTACTGGCTGATATAGGAGAAACAATGAATTCTTTTGCTGTGATGAAATCCCTGCCAGGTTCTACACTTCCATGTCTATCCAAAGCTGGACGGAATGAGGAATCTGTCCAAAGATATGATGGCTTCCTTCAGTAGAAACACGTTTTTGACTAATTATCTACAAGCATGGATATGCATTGTAGAAAGATTGTTAAATATAAGCTTAAATTTAAAGTTTGAAAAAAAGCATAAATGAGGATTTTCAGCTAAGATCATAATTTCTAAGTCAGGGAACGTGCTTAAGTTTTCTCACTGCTGTTTAGAATTCTTTATTTCAAATAGTATCTATAAAATAATAGAATAATATTCTGGAGTTCAAAGTCAAAGAAAAAACTTTTCCTTGTAATGGGCAATAAAACAGGTTTCAGCCAGGTTAGATAACTCCTAAAGTACAGGTTGACCTCTAGTTTGCAGCTCCTTAGATCTGTTCAATGTGTTGAGTTAAATTGGTTTATACAAAGGTCAAATTTTTCATTTCACTAGATTTTAATTTATAGCATGCTGTAGTAGGGTTTTCTGCACAAACAGAAGATGAGTAGGAGACCTGGCTGTGTCCAGAATGTTGAGAGCCTCCAGTTCCTCTATCTGTCTTCTTTGTGTGGTCATTTCCCATCATAAATTATTCATTGACCAGTACTTTTGGTTCTGAGTCTTGGTGAACGTGCCGATTTCCAAGGACTCCAATGGTATCTGAGCAACTGTAAAGAGGCATTGGTGAGTATTTGGAATGTCAAGATAGAATAACAGCCCATAAAATGCTTTACTGAGGGTTCTGTTTGTTTATGCTGGCAGTATAATCACTTGTCAAGTCTGTCCAGTAACTGAGACTTCATTCACTGACTTGAGGGAAAAGAAGTTTCTTTTATGAAAGGTACACAAAACATAATAGCATAATACTTGGAATCACAACACTTGAGTTGTGGAAAAGGGCCAATGGTGCAGGGTAGTCATAGAAGAAAAGCATTTCTAGTGGCTCTTTGTGTGTTTTGGTTTCACAGAAAGTGTTCTCTTCTTTAGTCATAGCACTTAATGTCTTGTTTGAAATGAGAGATTAAGTTTTGGATTGGGAAAACTTTAATGTATAGTGAATGAGCAGGAAAAGAAATGGCAGCCTCCTCTCTGAAGTGTTTATGGTCTACATAAGGAGAGATGAGTATGTATGAAATAAATTATTACTGTACTGGCTCATCTAGCTGACTTTTTGATTTTGCTAATATTAGTTTGAAAAAAAATAAATTAATTATTTTTTTATCTTTGTTGTTGTTTCTTTCAAACCCAACCATTTGCAGTGAAAATAAAGAAGAAAGGAAAAAAAGGAAGAAAATATTAAAAGGGGGATAAATTTCCAGGAAACTGAGAGAGTTTGCAGACTTCCACACACATGGTTCTATACCACTAACTACTGTTTTTATTTGGTCACCCAGCAGGAAAGTCATATCAGCACAATTATATCGTTCCATATTGCCCCCAGATAACCAATCCATAAAAAACTATTGATTCCATTGAATGGGTCAGAACTAAAAACATTTAAAGAATTCTTCCTGACCTTTGAGATGAGGAGTTACAGTCTGTATTATTTGAGCCTATTTCTTGTGCCTTAACAAAAATTCATCCCCTTTCTTCCACTTTCTAGAAGTAGATGTAGATGTAATTGAGGAGGACACTTGGAACAATAGAAACAGCAAGAAAATAACACTGAGCAAAAATAACCTGAATGAGGAACTGTACTTTTTCCCCATTAGACACTGAGTAAATGTTCAAGATTTTTAATTCTATGCCTGTTCTCCTTTAAATGTCCTTTGATTAGCTGTCCTGCTGGCAATTACAGCTTACATCTTAGCATTTTTTCTATTCTGGCTGTCTATGAAATTGTTCTCCACAGTTTCTCCTCCTGTCACTTTGATTATTTAAATGGAGGTTAGCAGGACTGTCTTCATGCTGTTTTCTCCTGATTTCAGTGTGTTGATGTGAGCACTCTGGAGAAAAATGCTGATATAATGGACAGAGATGGTGCTGATGAAAACACTCTTCCACGCCTGGCTGCTTTAATCCTTACTCTGGCTCTCCAAGGAGTCTGTATGGGGAAAGCAAGTTTGCCTTCCCCAGAATTCTTTATAAAATATATTTTCAGTTCTCTAAATAGTACCACTGAGCTCCAAGTGACAGGTAAGCTGGAGTATGCAAAGTTAATTTTCTTCAGGAAAATTTATTGCTGGACTTATCAGAAATGCTACTTAACCATAAATAAATAGAAGTATAGGAATGTTCTAACTGGTCCAAAAACAACAAAACAAAAAAACTGAAACAAAACTAAACAAATGCCAAGCTCTCAGCAGCAGCAGTAACTATTAATTTCTGTAAAAGCCAGTTTAAGAAGTTACACCATCAATTCAGAGGCCTGGTATGGATTTAGAAGGTTGTTATAAGACATCAAGTTTTCCTTTTTTGTGGCAACTGCTAACAGCAACAGTTTACAAGCTTTTCAGAGCACTTTTTAAAAGTTACATTAAGTATGGGTTAAAACAGATTAAAAAAATTGAATTGAGCATAAGTAAAGACATTTTTAACATTCATAGGTTGCACAGAGGTACATTGAATCACAGAAATAAATACAAAAAAAAATAATAATCCTTAGGCCCAAAATGGGGCTTATAGATTGCATTTACAAACAGGGTTTGGCAGCAAAGCCCTTCCTTTAAAATTGCCCAGCCAGATCTTATAAAATAATTCTCACAAGAATGGGTAGAGCCATCTCAGCCCAGTGCTACTAAATAGCTATGTATGGTGAAATATGGCCCCAGTGAAGATAACAGCAGGACTGTATGCTTGGTGGAGTTAGGATGTCATTCAGAAAAACAAAAAATGTTCTTAATATTTTTATTAATATTCTTAATAATAATATTATTATATTCTTAGAATATTCTTAAGTTTGTTACAGTCTATTTTATGTCTAAGCTAAATATACTGTCCCTTTAAATTTATTTAAATTCTTAATAGTAACTTCAGGAAAGAGTAAGAATCTGGAAGCATAGAAAAAGAAAATTATGTGCTACTACATTTAGAAAACAAATATACCTGCAAATACAGCTCCATTCAGATCTGTTTGTTTAAGCAGCCAAAAGAAAGTAGTAAAACATCTTATCAGAAACTTTTTTGTGAGATTCACCATTAAGACTACACTATTTGCATTGTCTGAATAACAAGATTAAAAAAATAAAGGATTATCATGTGGAAACATTCCCATTAATCTAAATCTCTTTAAAATTAATTTGTGGAGCACTTTTTAATAGACAAATTAAGGTTTACAGGAATTATCACTATGGCTTCATTTGAAAGTGCAGGGGTGAAGGAAGGTGATAAGGAAGATAGGATAGAGCCTGCATCTCAAATAACTGGACATTCCATCAGCGGAAGCACCCATTGCACCCCAGCTGTGTCATGAGGTACATCTGTGCATGATCTCAGATTTGGATTAGGGATCCTGGTTCTCTCCTTCCTGTTTCAGTACTGTGAGCAGGCATCTTCCCAGTTAACCAAAGGAGAGAAGAAATTCACTGTCCTGTGCTGTGCTCCTGAAGTGCAAGGACAGCACAGCATCCTGAAAATTGATTTCAGGACACTCTATGGAGGATGTGTTTCCTGATCCAAATACCTGGCTGTGGCAACTTACTGTGGAGTTCCATTTACACAGGAAAATTTTAAGAACAGTGAAGTTATTTAACAATTACTAGATAACTTTGTCAGAGATGCTGATTAAATAAAAGATTAATTTCCTGCCAGTCATATCTGAGTGTGACATGTAAAGAGGCAAAGGCTGAGGATCTGGGTGTCTGGAACTTCCAGAGTTGTTAAGCAGAAATTGCCTCTAGTACCAAACTGAGAAAAGAGTATTAAAATGAGGAATTGAATGAATGTTGTAACAAACAAAAAGAAAAAATACTACCTTTTAAATATTTTGTCTTTTAAGTGTGCATTTTCCTATGGTAACATATCTATTTTCTAATTAATTACTAGAACTAGAACAACTACTCAATGTGCTTAGAGTCAAAAAGACCTGCACTGTAAATGGACAATTTCACAGTCACAAAAGAAGACGCTACAGTGTGGCAATCAGAGATACTGGAAGAAGAAATACTCCAGTCAAAGGAAACCATACAAAAGGAGACTATCTGAAAGGCTATTTTGAAGATCGTGAAAGGAACACAGATTGGGACCAGGTTAATTTATTTTTATGTTATTATAATGTTGGTGACCGAATTTCACTGACAGAAATTTAAATTGATTTGCAAACCGTGCAATATGTCTGAGGTAAAATGTATTAGTTTCAAAAAGGCATTTAGATATGGATGAAAATATATATTTATATAGGTATATTTGTTTAAATATTAATTGGGAAAAAAACTTTGGGGATGTTGAATGTGCAATTAAGAGGGGCTAACAGGTTAGTGTTACCTGAAATCAGGTGTTTCTTCAAGACTCAGAGGAGTGGATTAACATAGCTTTGATGTTTTCTTACAGTTATTAGAGATTTCTTGTGGTTTTATGTCACAGAGTTTCTAGGACGCCTGAAGTGACCTGATAGAAAGAGGGATTGTTTTGCACTAAGGAAAACAAATTCAACTAAAGTTTGTCTGTAAGTTGCTTTTAAAAGGCTTTTGTAAATTGAAGACTGGACATTTCCAAACTCTTTTCATAGCCATTTATGGAATCCAGAAGTCTTCTTTAGAAAGTATAAAGACTGTAAAACAGAGACTTAGGTACTCCAAAGTATCTTTTCTGAGAACTTTGAAAGACACTGGCTTATTGCAGGTGATTTTATCCTTATCCTAAAAAATTGAAAATAAATAAATTTTGTTTATGGCAATGATCAAGATGGTAACTGACTTCCATCCTTTAGACGGGGTATCATTCCACAGACAAAAAAGGAGACTCCAAAGCATATAGTTGGTATATATTTTGATGTATACATTTGAAATATATTCTTCAAAGAACACTTTTCTATTGTTTTCAACCCTTCATCATTTATATTAACTCAGTGGCAATGTTTCTTTATGATTTAGGAGAACTGAGTGATGTTGACTTTTTCTGTGAGGTCATTTCATGAGTGAAATTGACTTTTTCTGTGTGGTCATTTTATGATGGGGAGCTGAGACAAATTTCATCTGGTTAAATGCTATTCTGATAGATATTTATCTCTGGAATTATATTGCATTTGAAATGCATACTCCATCAATACGTTTATTTCTTTGCAGCTGACCACAAAAAAGGATCATGCTGATCAGCATGATGAGGCTTTTAATGGGGTCTCAAAATAATCTTAAACTAAGGTCATTTTAAATGTGTTTCATATGAATTTTAAATTATGAAGGACAGAAATCAGTAGTGATCCTATCTGTAAAAGAAGTAAAATTCTCCAGTGATTGAAGTATTTTTAAAGCTCAGTGTTTTGAGTTCTTGAACTTCTAAGACTGACTGTAACTCAAAGGATAAGTGTGCAGGGGCATTATCTGAGTCTTAGGAGTCATTAAAAAATCACAAAGAAACATCTGGACAGAACATAATTTCTCTTCTGTATTAATTCCTAGTTTCTAAGGGGGTTTTTTTCCATTTATGTTCTTTTTAGCTATGCCTATTTTCCTTTACATACTCCATTAGAACACTTAATGTTTCACTGCAGTGTTGCTAATTTTTTCTCCTGATAGTTTTTCTGCAGCTATGATAGCCATTGCGCTTCATTAGCAGCTGATTCTCCTACATACAGGACATTGACTTGTCTATGGCTTGTGTTTGCTCACTGCTTTAAGATCTGTAATTTAATTTTTATATAGGAATAATTATTTGAAACATTACCAAAAAATAGGGTCACTGCTTTCTTTTGAAGTCATTGTTGTCTCTACAATTACAAATGTCTATAAAAAAAGTAAATGGTAAGTAATCTAATGTGATAAATAATCTTGCATTCCGGTAAACTATGTCACGTCTATGTATTCATTTATTCTTCCTCATTAAGCAAACATGGATTTTGGAAACCCAAATTATCCATCCATCCATCCATCCATCCATCCATCCATCCATCCATCCATCCATCCATCCATCCATCCAGTTTTTTGCATGAAAATATGCAAAATCAATGTGCTTATTTCTTTGTTATCATCCTCCAGGATGATACACACATTGTTGCTTTTCTATTGGAGACAGTTCTCTGCCTCCTTATGTTAAAAAGCTTCAAAGGCTGGGGCTTTCAACTAGAAAAGATGCAAGTCCTCATGCCCCACATCTTACAAGAACATTTTACTAAATAGACATTAACACTATTTTTATGTAGGGGTGGACAATTTATTTTTATAATTGATATTTTGCTTTTCATTGAAAATTCATGGTAATAAATTCTCATTGAAAATTCTTGATAATAAAGATACATTAAAATTTAGGCTCGCAGTAATCCTGGAGCTCGTCTTGTCTATGGTACTTTTCAAAAAAGAGTCAATTTCAAATTCAGATCAGATTTCACAGAGCCATGTACAGTTGAATGTTGAATGTCTCCAAAAACAGAGTTTATAGTCTTTGAGAAATCTGTACCAGTGCTTTATTGCCTTCATCTTGATGGCCTTATTTATTATAGCATGTTGGAGTTTTTTATTGCTGCAACTAATACCTTTCACCTCTCATTCTTTCACTGAAAAGATTAAGGTTATCTCTTCCCTCTAATCGCCTTAGACAGTTGAAGACTTAAGATGCCCAGCAGCCCTCCTGTTCCCAAACTGAGCAAACCCAGGTCCCTCAGCCTCTCCTGGCAATCATGTGCTGCAGTTCCTAGCCGTCTTGGGGGCCCTCCATGGATTTCCCTCAATTTGCCAGTGTCTTGCACTGCTGGTTATTGGCTGGACATAGTCCAGATGTGGGCTCCCATGTCCTGAGAGGTGGGCAAGATTCTTTCTCCAGTAGCTGCTGGCTCTGCTCTTGCTAATGCAGCCAGTGTGCAGTTAGTGGTCACTGCCACAAGGGCTCACTGGTGGCTCATGTTCAAGTTTCCTGTCAGGAGCCACCCCAAGGGCTTTTTCTGGAAACCTGCCTTCCTTCTGGCCAGTTTCCCTAGCCTCCATTGACGCATGCAGCTATTCTGTGTGAAGCACAATAAGTTTGTCTTGGGTGATCTTCACTAAGGGCTGGTCAGCCCATTTTTTGTCCTGTCAGATCCCTCTAAACAGCAGCCACACCCATCAGCATTCTGACTAGCGGCCCCAGTTGAGTTTCATCTGTGAATGCTGTCTGGTGCACTCTGTTCCATCACTCAGGTTGTTGGTGAAGGTGTTAAATAATAAATAATACAATCCCTGCTCTGACTGGTCAGCAATGCTGCTCATGACCAGCCGAAATCCTAGTCTTCCAACTTGATACCACATGTCAGTGCTCCCTAGTTCTAGAGTCAATATCTCTGCCTAGAACAGGAAAAATTAAGGCCTCTTCCGATATGGTAGCTCCTGAATTGTCTTCATGCTCTCCTTTGGCCTGAAGGCAGAACACACTCAATCCAGGTGACAAGATCACCCATTATCCTGAAGACTTGAATGTGGTTTTCAGAAAAAAACATATCAGTGTTCAATTAATTTAGTTTCTTAGTGAAAGAGAACCATAAGGCATATTTTACTTCACTAATGGATGAGCAATAGCAGGAATGTGTTGGATTTTATCTGGGTTATTTAAAGGTAATTATACTTAACTTCAAAAGAAGGTTAGGCTTCAGTAATGAGATAAAGAATATTTAGGAAAACCTTGAGTCTCAGATGCAGACCAATTTAAATGAAAGAAAATTTTTTGGTTTTAAATATTGAATCACAGCTCATCAGATGAGATTAAGAAATGAAGATTATTAATAAAATAATGTATTTGTTAAGTAAGATAACATATTTGATCTGGAGTTCTTCTGTTTAAAAGTGTTTACAGAAATTTCCACTAGAACTTTTCTTGTGTTAACTGCTCGTGTTTTTACTGGAAGTTTCATCCTGGAGCAGAACACACAAAATGTCTTCATGACAATTTTTGAAATATAAATGTTTCCATGAAAAATTGCTTCTTTTGACAAAGACATGCTCCAAGCAAGAACAAAAAGTAGTTGGAATTCAGAAGTACCTGTAATAATACGATTATTAAGCAATCTTTAGACCAATATTAGACTATGTAACATCTAGTTTGCTGACATGCCCTCACTTATTGAATTTAAAAAGCTAATTTATTTCCATATCTTACTGAAGATCCAGTACAAGGACGAATTTCAGTATTGCTTTAATGTGGGCAGTATCTTATATTAGTAGCACTATTACTGCAAATAATGTAGTTTCACAAGAATAGCTAAGAATATGGTTTGTATTAGCATTGAGACTTTTTTCTTAGCACATATAACAATAAAATATTGAAAGATATTATTAGATATTATTTTGTAAGATCTTAATGACATTAAGTGGCTTCAATAAAAATTAAGCAGGTTTATCCTAAAGATTCTGATCTTTCTGAAATATACTAGTATCGATTTTACACAGAAAAAAAGTGAAGTAATTGAAGTAATTAAACTAATTTAAGCAAGAAAGAGTATAGATATATAGCAGGTTTCTTCTAGGGCTGGAGTGCCCTGTGTTCTTCTAAGATTCTGTATTTAACCTCAAAATTAAATGCAGGTATATGCAACATGTTTAGTAATCGTGTATACTTTCCTCCAAAGGTTTGTTTCTCTGCCAATGAACTTGTGAAGATATTTTTGAAAAACAGTTCTTCCTCCATTTCTAAGGACCACTTCAAACAAATCAGTCCAGCTATCATTCAACAGCTTTTAAGTTGTTCATGTCAGCTTCCTGATTTCAAACAGACAAAGCTTCCACCAACAACTATGGAAAGTAAGTTTTGTTCTTATTAATAAATTTTTATTTAAATTCAGATAAAGGGGTGCAAGGACTTCTGGAGACTTTTCACTCATTAATAATCCAAAACATGGGATCTATGCCATCTGTAATTTATGCATTCTATCATTTCATAGCATACATGTCAGATAATAGTATTATATTGAGAAGTGAGGAGATTCAATGGTCCAAATTTTATACTATTTGGAATTCTATTTCCACATGTAAGGTTTTAAGCTTTATTTTCTTCATTTGTTAGAGGACTGCTTGATATTGCCAGCAGGTAGGCAATAACAGGTCCTCATCTATGGATTGCTGGGCAGTAAGGGCTTATATTGTGAAATTTGTACCAGGTTGTAATCATTGCATTGCTCTTACATAAAGATTTAAAGTTACATTAGCTGGCAATTTATGCCATGATGTGGCAAAACCTTGATATAGGTAAGTTGAGCAGGAATGCTACTGGGGTTTCAGCCTGTAATATTTTATAGCAGAGGAGCTTTGAGGATACTATTGGGGTAAGAAAAACCTCCAGAAAAAACAGTAACAGGGCAGCAGGACTGTGTGATAGAGCTGGAACAAGAACTGACTGAGGGTATAATTAGGTTGTTTCTTGTTGCAGTTGTAGCCCTCACATGCCTCTGCTTCCAGTGTTTTCTGCCCCATCTGTTCCATGGATTTCACTTCTCCTGTAATCAGTCCTTAATCCACCTTATAAAAGAAAAATCTGAATGTGAGATGACTCAGATTCAGGGTCAGCTGAATCAGAAATAGGGCTTCCTAATGTGTTTTCTGGGTTTTTTTTCACTTTAAGCCAATAATATCTGGGTTACAAATCAAGGTGTGCTGGTGTAATAACAGAGACAATAATTTTGCTGGGGAATTTGGGAGTCGGGAATGACTAAAAAGGAATAGACATCTAACCATAATTGCCTGCATCTACAGGAGCACTTTTTAGGCTACAAATCAATGTCTTTGATACCTTTATTCTAATATCTACATGGTCAGCTTTAGATGACTGGATCTTTTTGGATCTAGTAAGTTTTCCCCACATCCTGCTGCCCAATGATCCTTATGGATCAGCACATGAATTAAAAAGCATGAAAGGACACATGTGAATATCCCAGAAGTAAAAATCATGGGAGAATACTCATGGATATCCCAAGAATTGTTATAGTAGAGACATACAGAATAGGAAGAATCATTATGGGTCTGCAATAGGCAGCAGTCCTTCTTTCTTATCTTATATCTCTGCTCATTACTTGAACACATTGCAGTCTTTACTGCTTTGATCTCTTCTGTGCTACACAGATATGACCATTTTTTAGATCAGGAATCGAGGGACAAAGAAAGAAAAGAAAGGAACTTACCCAGGTCACATACAAGGTTCATAAAAAATTCACTGTTAAGTGGTATTCTTCCAAGTCTGAAGCCATCAGCCCAATCAATGATATTTTACTGATCTCATAAAGGTGAGAGATGAGAAAAATTGAACTATTCAAGTGCAGAATGGAATTAATAAGAGCCCTTTCTGCAGCCCTTTCCCTGTGCTTTTTGACAAAGGAAGGTTTCCATGACCACAGGGACACTTCTGCTGTCTTGATACAGATAAAGAACTCCATGTTTGACCTATGTGCAACCCAGTGGCCTGAGCATAGGCTCATTAGTCTTACTGTGAACTCTTATTTTACTGTTGGGCTGCGCTGTTTTGGCTAAGTCACCAAGGCCTGACATTCCATATATATCTACTATACTCTTGTATTTGGATATGCAGTCTGTGAAATGAGCTGTCTGATTTTATGAGGTGCTAAGCACTTGCAGTGCTATTGAAATTTGAAATGTTAAGTGACAGTTTAAAATATTTTGGCATTAATTCCTTTATATGTGTTTCTCATCAGTGTTTTACCTCCCATTATAAGACTTCCATAGAAATTAATTGGGATTCATGTTGTGCAAAAGGTTGGAAATGTGAGCAGCATGTAACTCTGAGATTATAAAACTAACATTCAAAAACATCCCAGTAATCTGGGAAAAATAGGCTGGTGGTCCTGGTGTATTAACTGAAGGGATGTAGTTCCACACCAGATTTTTAGATATCATTTGGACCAAAATGTTTATGCCTAGAACCTAAATTAGATCACTACATTTATTGGAGATTTTAGGCCTTCGTTTGTTTACAGAAAATGATTTGGTTAAAAACCTGATGTTGACTGTAAAAATACACAGGTGTGGCATGTGAAAACATAGAATCTCAAGCATAAATCTTTTAATAGAGGAAGCAAACGCATAGCAGGGTTCACTGTGCTGCTCTGAGTGACTCTGATTTGCATAGACACAGTCTGTTTAGCTCTTAGGGTCTGAAATTTGGAAGTACCAGACTATTACATGTAAAGCCTCAAAAAATGAATGTTTTCTGGGTTTCTAATTCTGTCATCTGTTCACACATGACTAGAAAAATATATATGGCTGTTGTGGCTTAACCCCAGACGGAAGCTAAATATGAAGCAGCCACTCACCCACCCTTCACTTCCTCCCTCCACAGGGATTGGGGAGGAGAACTGGAAAAAGGTAAAACCCATCAGTTGAGCTATCATTGGTTTAATAATTCAGATAAAGTAAAATATACAATTCATGCTACTCCTCCTACTAGTGCAATTAGAAATGGAAAGGAGGATTACAAAGGAAACAAAAAAAGAGAGAGAGAAATAAACCCCAAGATAAACAAGTGATGTGCAACACAATTGCTTACCCCCTGCTGACTGATGCCCAGCTCACCCCTGGGCAGCAAACAGCCCCTCCTGGCCAACTCCTCCGAGTTTCTACTCTGGGTATGGATGTTCTGTGATGTGGAATATCCCTGTGGCCAGTTTGTGCAGCTGTCCCAGAGGTGTTCCCCTCCCCTGCCCCAGATTCTTGTGCAGCTCCTCACGTTCAGAGCATGAGATACTGAAAAGTGCTTGACTCAGGGTAAGCGCAGCTTAGCAACAACCAAAACATCACTGTGTTATCAACATTATTCTCATCCTGCATCCAAAACACTGCACTGTACCAGGTACTAGGAAAATTAACTCAATCCCAGCTGAAATCAGATAGTGTCACAATGAATCACTTCTCCTGAATGCTTGTACAGAGGTATGAAAACATATCCTCAAAACAACAATTACAAATATAAAAAAATACTCAAATACAAATACAAATATTGGATTAATAAAGGTGCCCTTGTTTTGTTTCATTTGTTTTCCCCTACAGAATATGGTTACAGCACTGTTGCTGTTTTACTTATTACTATTGGATCTATGTTTGGTACAACTCTCATTTTATTTAACTCCTGTCAAGAAATCTATACACTCATTTTACAGCTGTTTGTCGGTTTGGCTGTTGGGACCCTTTCTGGAGATGCATTGCTACATCTTATTCCTCAGGTAAGTAATAGACACTTCTGTGCTTTTAAAAATGTTGAAATATATGAACAGAAAGGTTTCATTTATACCTGGATAATGCTCATCAGTCATAAATAAAGTGTTCCATGAAATTCCCCCAGTAACTCATTTACATTTGCACTCTGTAGCTCAGAGAGAGATTAAAAATAATAATAAGTAAAAATCCATGATTGATGAATTCAAAGAAAGAAAGGTTCCTATTTTTCAAAAAAAAATTCAGTAACTCCACAAGTCCTGTGCAAGGCACATTCTAGATGGATATTAATTTATTTCATGAGGCAGGTTCTGTAACACATTTTAACAAAAATTGTTCTAAGGTTGTGTGAGACATTCACGATCCCCTCCACAGATTGTTCTAGAGAACCAGGCACTATAAGCCTAATTAATCCTGATGCCTAGAACTGTAATAAAATGGGTAACATGATCTTTTTCTAAATTCATAATCTAAATTTTAAAAACAGGATAAAATGCAAAACAGAACCAAATCTTCCATTGCGCATTCATTTATTTTTAACAGTCTCCTCTGATATGACACAGATGTTATGAGTAGACTTCCAGTGGTCACAGAATGAGATCTTTGCAGCTTCAGATTCTGGTTAAAATTCTCTTTATGCTCAATACATCATCTCTGGAAGCAAAACTGGTAGAATGGTTTAAGGAAGGCAATTCTCACTGAATGTGAGACAAATGCATTTCTTTCAGCAACACCTTTTAAGTGTGAAAGTATTCTCCTTTGCCAGTTTTAAGAGATGTATCCAGTAGCCTTTAGAGCCCTCCCTTTCAGAGCAAAGGAGGGCTGCTGTGCTGTGACACTAGGGAAAAGAAGGAAGCATACCCACCAACAGAAATGCATGTTTGCATTAATAGTGCATTAATTAATTTATGGTTCATTTTCACAGAATCACAGAGTTACAGAACTACAGAATAGTTAGAGTTGGAAGGGATGCCTACAGGTCATCTAGTCCAACCCACTGCCAAGGCAGGATAAGCTAGAGCAGGTTCCTAATGAATATATTGAGGTGTTTTTCATGTCTCCAGAGAGGGAGAATCCACAACCACCCCATGCAGCCCACGCCAGTGCTCTGCCACCCTCAATGTAAAGAAGCTCTACTTCACGTTGAGTTGGAACTTTTTGTATTTTAGTTTATGGCCATTGCTCCTCACCCAGTTGTTGGGAACCACTGAAAAGAGTCTGGCTCCACCCTCTTGGCATCCACCTTCGAGACATTTGTATGCATTAACGAGATCCCCTCTCAGACTTCTCTTCTCTAGACTGAACAGGCCCAGTTCCAGCAGCCTCTCCTCATAAGAGAGATGCTCCAGTCCCCTAAACATCTTTGTGTCCTCCACTGGACCCTCTCCAGTAGCTCCTTATCTCTTTTCAATATGAAGTTTGCATATTAAGATAATGCAAGTAATTTTTATAGAGTTTTAGCATCAATATATTGCAAACAAAATATATCTCGTATATCTAAATGGTGATTTCATAAAATTGTCCCTAAAAATAATGTTACTATCACCACTGAGAGATGAAGAAGTGTAGCTGTGTTCCTTGTGATTAATTTCATCCTCTATTATTCAGCTGGTTATTTCAAAACACAATTTAACTTTGGCAGAACTGAGAACTGGGAAAATAAAATTCTGAGAATAAAATGAATTAATGCATTATGGCTTGCTGTAGGAACAATTAAAACATAGGCATTTAATTTTTTTTAACTTTATTTCTTTTATTTTAGACTCTTGGTTTGCATAAACATGAAGCACAAGAGGTAGAACATTTCTATGAGGGAAAAGAATATATTTGGAAGCTTTTGGGAATAATTGGAGGAATTCATGGATTTTTTCTGATAGAAAAGTGTTTCTTTCTTTTGGTAACACCTCGTGACCAGGTAAAGCTTTGTACAATTCACCCTTTAAAAAAAAAATCTTGTATTTTGAGATTTTGCAATGCACAGAATGTTAAAATGATTGTGGAAATTAATTATCATTTCTGTGGGTTAAATGAAGCATAGATAATTGCTTTCCAAAGTGGTCCTACCAGATTGACCTTCAGCTTCTATTTTGCTTTGCTCTGTGGATTGTGCTTGCTTCATGAGTGTGTTTCATGTATTTATAATTCCAGAAAGGGAACAGATAATCAAACATGTTCCATAAGCCTGCATTAATGAGTCACACTGGAGCAGGTTAAAGTGTATATCCATATGAAATAGCAGTGACTGTTGTTTGCTCTAGGCTCTGTTTGAAGAGGAGAAAGATGCAATGGAAAGATAAATATTTTCAAGATATTTTCAAGAATGATATCCTATAATTTCCAAATTGTTTTTGATCCCTATCCCAGTGACATGAAAATCTAATATGTATGTTACAGTCAGTAGAACCCAATTTTTATTAATAAGATCTCCTTGCTACAGCCATGCTTACAGTAATTGTATTACTTTATTTCAGTATGGCTGGAGCCTGAAAATATGAATATGCACAAGGATAGAATGCAGCACAAAAAGTGATGGCTCATTAAGTTTCTCAGCATGAGACAATCCTAATGTCACTTAAGAAGGAGAAAACCTTTGCTTGTTCTGTTTACAGAGAGTGTGAAGACTGGCCTGGTTTAGGCCTCAATGACTCCCTATCCCCACTACCTTTGAATCATCCATAAGAATATAATGTGAGATTAATGGAATGAGAGTATTTTGATGATGGTGATATTTTATTTTCCTGGTAAAAAGGAGTCCATTTTGTTTCTTGTTTGAGAGAAGGGTTTTATCACCATCCCACCAATTTTTAAAACTTTTGTACTGAGAACTAGATGAATCCTCAGAGTTAATTTTTATATCTATCTCAGCTTAAAATTTGAATTTGATTTTTAAAATACATTAAGTTTTATCAAACCTTTGTGATTGTCACTGATATATCTGATTCACTTTTCAGAGTTTTTTTCAGTTTTTTTTAACATTTAAGGAAATGTTGATCTTTTTCAGCAGATTTTTTTTTGTAATCATTAAAAATGCTAAATTTTCATAAAAGACTGAGAGATGCTGCACCTGTGTTCGTTGGATTTCAGAACTAATTTCAAAGCATCTTCATTCAGCAGGGCCTTTCTTTAGTTAATGGGCACTGGGGACATTCCCATGATCTTCCAGTGGAGTCTGAATTAAATGAGCTTTCAGGCAGAGGCAAATCTACTTCAACCATACAGTTGGTAGGTTACCAATATGACATAATTCCCTAAATTTTAATTCTTCTTTCTCCATTCCTCTAAAGAAATTAACAAATTTAATGTAATAAATCAGTATTATTTTTCAGTCTTTATTGATTTGTTGTTTATTACTTGACATGATTGTCAAGAATCTCTAGATTTTGAAGTTTATAATGAGCTTTCACAGATATATCAAGAACAGATATTTTACAGTAACTTTTCTTAAGTGTGTATCAGATTGATATAACAATATGCTTCCTGTATTGTTATACATTTTGTTGATAAAATTCTTGAATATTTTCCTTCTCCCTTCCTTTTATACATTGATCATATGTAAAGGCAGACTCTCCCTTAGGAAAAGCTTTGGAACTTCCTGCAATGAGAGTTAAGTGCATAATTAATGAACAGATTAAATCCTGTACTGTTCTTGGGCATTTTTCCACAGATTTGAAGAGTAATGTAAACGCTTTAGATAGCTGGGAATGGGGCTTACCTATAAGAAGTTACATACTTTTAGATTTAGTATCCAGACAGATAAATCTTTGCAAATTAAATTGAGTCATAAATTTTACCCTGTTTTCTCTTTCTTTCAACAAATGTCTTCAGTTTATATCCAGTATCTCGATGCATAGGTGAACTCCATTTTACTTATATAGTTGTTGTGATGGGCATGAGCCTCGTGAGTCACCACTAATCTCTAAAACACAGTTGGAAAACTCTCAATAAAAACCAGATCAAACAGAGGAGTGAAGCATGGTTTCTATTTTGTGAGACATGTCAAAGCTTCCTGTTGATGATAATGAATGGACATGTTGTTCCCCTCAGATGCAAGATCCCCCCCATAGTTCTATATAGATCACAATATCTATATGGAATTAGCCTGGCTGAGCTGGTTTACACAAGAGCATCCAATTTTTCAGAATCATGTGAGTAATACTAAGACAAACACTGGTTGACTAAGAAGAGCTTATAAATCCTTCAGATCAGTAATTAGTCTTGCAGATTTGACTCACAGTTCAAGGAAGTGGCATGTGAATAAATATAGGAGAAGTGGAACAATTACTGGAATTCATATGACTGGCTGCAATCATGGGAACTAGAGACATTTATGTTCCCTTTAAAATGTAGAATATGAGAAACAATTCTTTTTCCTTTTCTCCTCATGCTTCTACAGAACATATCCTTCATCACAACCAATAAACATATCCTATTTTGTTTGCACATCTCTGGTACAGTTTTTGGAGTGGTGGCTGCTGTCCCTAACAGAGCTCTTGTGCAATTCTTGACTCCACTGGCTACTATAATAGTTTTAACACACTTTTTGGGAAAAAAGCCCTCAGAAATTAAAACTCAGTCTTTCTAGTTTCAAGCAAACAAGTTTTTTGGCTTCTCTCTCCCTCCCATGAATTTCTAATTTCTTCCATCAGAAAGCAAAGCCCCAAGGAGGTAGTGACGGTGAGAGATTATTCATGTTCTCCCTTATCTCCCAACAGTTGTAATATCTATTAATTAAATGTTAGGGCTGGTGCCTCAATTTATCTCTCTAGGATAAGGAGGAAGGCACTTTCTCTTTCCTCACTTGAAGTAAGAGTAAATTTCACCATGGAGTGCACTCAAGTGCTGCTATGCCCAGCCAGTGCTGCCTGGTCCTGAGATTAGGCCCTTGCTAAAAGCCAAGACACAAGGCTCTGGAGGCTGCACCACCCCCTGAAGAAAAACCCCTGTATTTTGAAAGGGGATGAAACCTACTGATGATCATATTTTTAAGTCTTGTGTTTTCACACAAAAACTGTGAAGAACATGAGTAGCTAAAAGTCTCTACCTCTTTTCCCCTGGAAATCCTATGGACACATTCTCCAGGAAAATACAGTTATCCAGGCATGACAAAATCAAAACATGCAATTTTAATTATAATGTCCCTTCTAGTCTTTGGCTCAGATTTTTGTGCATTCAAGCAGAAGTGTGGCTTCCTTGGGTTACAACAATGCCTATGCACGTATTTCTTCCTACCTGAAATAGACTTAACCCTCTCCGGAAGAGGTAGATTTCTTTTTTATGTCTTTCTGCAGTACCAATCACACTGCCAGTGGCCAGTAAATTTTTCTAATGATGTCTGTGCAAATAACCATTGACTATCTTTAATTCAATAGCTTGAACTTTGTTGATATTTTCCTGTATTTATGGCAGCAGCTGGAAGACACTCTTAACACTGACCCATTATCTTTGCTTTTAACTAGAGAAGCCCGGAAGATTCGGAACCGGCTGAAGTTCCTCCAGACAGCAAGGTGATCAGCAAAAAAAGTTAGTATCAATAAAAAGACTAGACAAGACAGGAAAATCCTTCGGACCTAAGATGGAATTGAAAGTGTACAGCTGGCTTAGCTCTGTGTTTGCTGTGTGACACATCATCACATCTGATGGCGCCTGGCTACATAATTTAATCTCTGCTTAAAGACCTTCTCAGCTGCCAACCCTGTAATTGTGAAGTTCATTAATCTCACACTGTCCTTGCTTTAGTATTTGCTGTCTCACTGTTGTAATCTATTTTCCTAAAGTCTTTACTTAAAGGGAAATAGTCAAAAATTAATACAAGACATATTTTTTATTTTTAAACTTAGCTCAGGCTTTTATTTCTGAAAGTGGTGAAACATTTTTTTGTAGGCTTGCTGTGCTAATATAATTCTTCATCCTTTTTCTCTTACACAGTAAAGCAATAGACTCTTTAAAGCAGTAATGATTTATCACAGGTATGGAATTACAGCCTCATGATGGCTCTCAGTTTTAGAGTAATCTGTTTGCTTCTGAGAATTTTGATAACTTCTGTCTTCTGTGGTTTTTTGCTGCTTAGTAAAATTATGAAAATAGAGTATAAACCAAATTTTGCCTTTAACTGTACTTTGTGACCTTGGTGAATTCAGTAGAGTTGCAGTCATTCAACTGACAGAATAATATTTTAATTGAAATCAGTTTCTTTACTATAATTAACTCCCCTTTATTTTGTGATCTCAGGTCATCAGTTTGATTTATTTAATTGTGTCATTATCTTCTTCTAGGTTCTTAATGTTCTGTTCTTGTGGATTTCATTTCTATTTCTGAAGCATTAGAAATCTGGATTTTCATTTCTTCTCTTTCACCTCTCCAGTATACACAGTCCAGTGGCAGTTTAAAAATGACTAGAGATGGTTCATCTCTAGATGTTTCTGTTTGGTTCAGTCATCATAACCTGCTAAGCAACAACAAATTTCTAGTGATCTCAATGTTATTTGTTCCAAGTTACTAAATTTGGGATAGCGTCTCAGTAATTTTGTTTAGTTTAATTTTTTCTCATACCTCAGTCTTACTTCCATAAATGAAACCTTAGTAGGGAAGGGGGGGAAGTAATTTGTTGAGGGTTTTTTTTGTAGGGGGTGGGGGAATTCATAATTACAAAAGTTTGTTTCGTTATGTTTCTTTTAAACAGCTAAGAGCATAAACATACCTGAGTATCTTGATACTGAGTTGAGGCCCTTCTTCCCCAAAACTTAATGGAATCTGTGGGTCTAAGAGAGAAGCCAGAACTGCAAAGTTTCACTGTAAATGCCTGTCAAATAGGACTGCAAAAAGGGCCAATCACATAGATAGTCAGGGAGTAACTTAGAAAGCAAAAAAATTTTCAAATAAAAAGACATCTGACTGGCCCTCTCTGCATATATCCCTACTTGTTCTACCAATATCAGAGAAGACCAAACAGTAGCATTTTATACTTGTTGTACTTTGTGACACTTTACATTGACTAGAAATATTTTTTCTGTGTTAGTCATGGAAACATTGGAAAATATCTATTTATGGATAAGTTTTTGCTTTAAACTCTTATTCTAAACCTAAGAAGTGTATGGTTGAGGTCCTGTAGCCATTAGTTTTATGAAAATTATAGAAAAGAATTTGCTATGAGTTCTGGTCTCCTATTTAAGCAAAGAAAAAAAGTAAGATTGTTGGATGGAGAAGAAGAGGCTTTGTAGAAAAACTTAAGGTACTAAGTTAATAGTTAATACTTTGTGTTGGAATATAATGCAGTGAGATAATTGCCAGTAACAAAGTTGCTTTAAAATAGGTTGAAAGTAAAGTAAGATAAACATTCAGATTTGTTTATACATGCATCTTCTTAACTTTCTGTCAAGTAAGTTCAGAAAGCTTATAGCTGTAATTGCTCCACAATGTTAACCTGATCCCTGTGTTATATTAAAACATCCTGGAATGAGTTCCAGTAATCATGGTATATCTTCTCCAGCAATCAGATACTTGAACAAAACAGACTAATAAGACCTCAGAGCAGGCCATGAATTCATCCTGGCCAGTGCTTATTACAAATCACAAACTTAATGCAAGGCAGCAATCTATTATTTCTATGTAATTCATGCTCTGCACTATTGATCATAAACTGCCCATGGTGTTTAGAGAGTACTGTGCAAACTGGGGACATCCACGTCCTGCTCTGTAAGCTGGCAGCAAAATCTAACAAGCCTGCCAATTTTTCTGAACCCACAGAGCTCCCAGACAACCAGGGAGGATTTTCTGAATACGGTTGTTAGGCTTTTATGTGCTCTGTGTGTTTTTTATAATAGTCTGAAGACTTCAGTTCTAGCCAGTTTCTGTGAGAAAAATATCTCCCCCATCACTATAAAATGGTCATCTCAGAGAAACATTACTGGAGTGACACCTGGTAATAACTGTATTCAGACAGATTGGCGCAGCTTGACGTTTGCTCCTTAGTCTGTCATATTATGTCTATGCGGGGTCACCAGAAGTCAGAAAAATACATATTTAGGGCCCAAATCATGACCCTGCTCCTTCAGGCATGAAACAAACCCTTTTCAAAGTGTTCTGTCCATTCTGTGCAGAGGGAAGCTGGATGAGTTTCTTGGCAGACGTTAGGCAGCCCTGACTGTAAGACTGTGGATTAAATGAATGAAAAAAAAATACAGGATGGGGCAGCCAATTGTGTGTTGCTAAGTTTAGACATTGAACCTATATGGAGCCTTGCTGCTTCTTGAAGAGATAAACTGCCTCCCTGGGAATCTGTTCAGCATTCCACCCAGCTGTCTCTGTTGCAGGCTGGGCAGAGAGACCATCCCTAATTCCCTAGCCTGATTTCAGTACTTGCATCACTAGTAGCACCTTTCCACTCATGTCAAGTGACCTGGTGCCATGAACACCCAGTACACTGTTCCACACTAAAACAAGGTCACAGGGCAGCATGGGAAAGACAAACAGCCATCCAGACCACAAGCAGTGCTCCAGATAGGAGTACTGTGAGCATAACAGCCATTAATTGATTGGAACAAATGTTGGATATAAGCATGCTGTAACCCTGTTCTATAAGTGATACTCTGAGGCTTGTTCTCTTTCATTTCTATCTTTCACTGTAATACAATTGCATAAAAAACCAGATCCTGCAAATACTACTCAGTAGCAGCAAGTTTTACAGGATTGAAACTATCAGCTGTGTGATATTCATCTTCACTATAGCTCTGCAACTCTGTGAAAAATGGAGGAAGAACCCCAAATAACAACTAGAAAACTTGTGTGAATTTCATCAAATAAAGAAGAATTAATAAAGAGTCTTTGGATGCTTCATTAGACAGGACACAAACCTAATTTTTTGTCTAATAGTTGACCTAGTAAGAATAAGGAAGTTATTTCCTGGTATTTGCATCTCATTTTGAATTGTCCTGGAACCTACCTTTTTTTTGTTTCAAATGTATTGAAGGAAGTGCAATAATGACAAATCATATAAAGAATGTTTCCCTCTGATTATTATGACTTTTTGTAATGTTATATGCAAATTCACCAAAAACGCCAAACCTTTTGTAACATAACAAAACTGGCAATATCTATGTGGGTTAATACTGGGCTTTTTATCTGTTTGTTTGTTTGTTTTTCTATTTTGAGGTAAAAAAATCAGCTTGTTAGCAATAATGGTTCTGGTGGGCGACAGTCTTCACAATTTTGCTGATGGCTTGGCAATAGGAGCAGCATTCTCATCCTCAACAGAAACAGGTGTGACAACGACTGTTGCTATTTTATGCCATGAAATTCCTCATGAAATGGGTAAGAAATATATGTATGTATTTTTCCTGATTGACTTTGTATTTCCAGGTTTCCCAAAAATTTCTTTCCTGTATGACATTTTTGGGAATTCTCGCATACAGCATCATGAATTACTGTGTTACAATGTGAGACTGATATTTTCTTTGCCCTTCACAAAAACCAGAGGAGGCTGCTGCACTCTGCACACTGGATTCCCTCCCATTTGACCTTCTCCAGATACAAATGACCTCAGGTCAGAAGTGACCTGTTCTTATGTGTACAGACACAAAAAATAATAAACTGTAAGCAAGACCTAGGCCATGCCTGACACAACAGGTTATCCAAGAATTTCAATATGCAGCAGAGCTATTTAATCAAGTATTCCTCTTGCTACCATCATTCCTGCTGCTAATTTTACTTTGGACAGGACAGGAGGATTGTTCTGTTGTATTACTGCCCTTGATTGATTCTTTCTGGTAAAACTTTCAGCATGACTGAAGCTGCTCCTGATATTGTGTTGATGAATGTTTATGATTGGGAAGTTTGATTTGAGAACTGTAGGTTCTCATTTCTATCATTAAATGACAGAAGATTTCATGTACTATGTAGAAAACTCCTCCAGACAAAAAGGGGGGATGGAGGATTGCTGTAAATCTGGTAACTCTGGTTTGCATAGCAAAGCAAATTGAAATACTTGACAGTTACCTCCAAAGATACCTTCTTAATTCTGGGGCAATAGTGCCCCAGTGTCAAAGTGACATTTTTACAGTCATGGAGCAAAATTTTTCAAATCTTCTAGTTTTGGCCTGTTATGAAATCTTTCATTTTAGAAGAAAAATGTGTGATGGGGTTCTGATGTACAGCTTACTGCTAATGATTAGGGGTGGTGGAATCAGTGGGATTAAACTCAAACTGGGATCAGACTGGTAGAGATTACTCTGACTTGCAGCACCTGTAAAACACTTAAAGACTATGCTGCAAATATACCCACATGATTTGAACTGGCAAGTTACCAGTGGAGAAAGATTTAGAAACTCTGGGAAACCATGTGACTTCACTTTTGCATGTATCCAAGCTGGAAATGTCACGGAACATAGAGAACTAACAGAAAGCCACTCCTCAATACTGTATGCTATCTTTAGGAACAGCTAAAAAGTACAAGTCGATTCTTTCTTGTTTTGGGATTTTTATTTCATACAGGACAAGTTTATAACTAATTCTACAGAATTCTAAAGGCAGGTATCCATCATTCACTATCTTTGTACATATCTTAATGATTTTCCTTCATGTTTTATTACCAAGAGTCTTAAAAATACATTTATCAGCTAAATAATAAATGTTCTTCTTTTCTATGCAGGAGATTTTGCTGTGCTGCTAAGTACAGGGCTCCCAACGAAGATTGCAATTTTGATGAATTTTATAAGTGCACTAACAGCATTCTTAGGACTTTATATTGGCCTTTCTCTATCAACTGACCCATCCATTCAAAACTGGATCTTTACTATTACAGCTGGAATGTTCTTGTATTTATCTTTAGCAGAAATGGTGAGAACTTCAGTCTATTTTTATATTTTCTTTATAGCATAGCCACATCATAGATGAGTGTCAAACAAATGCAGGAGGATGAACTTGGAGACAAAAAGAGCTTGTTAGGAGGAGCATGTTGTCTCTCTTGTGTGTGTACAGTGCTTAAAAAAGTAATCTGTTGTTCTTCTGTGTCACTCTCATGCTAGGTGCCATTATAATGAACAGGGGAAATAAAGATCATTAAGAGATTAAATAAGAAAAAGACATAATGGAATTTTAGAGTATTTAAAAAAAAGCTTTTGAAGACTTTCAAACAATGTATTTTTAGTTATTTAGTAAAATATATATTTGAACTTTCAGGGGTTTCAAGATCTTGAATTATTTTTTTCTTTTTCTGCCCTTTTCTTATATATTTTTCACCCTTTGTTTCAATACAAACTTGCAGTTTCAGAATTTAAATGTAAGATGCTTATCCTGAATCCTTCCTTTTTGTCCTAGGGATGCTTCAATTAGACCTTAAGTAACAAAAAAGCTTTCAGATTACTGCAACTTTTTATAGTTGCCCAATATTTTTCATACACCCAGTTCAATAGCAATGATTGTCTAAATAAAAATAAAGTGTGAAGATACAGGGTAGGAGGAAGGTCTCAGCAAAAATGTGGAGCAATCATAGGTCATAGTAGACACCTCAGACCACATAATTTATTGAAGAGATGGATAACAGTTACACTTGTAGCTATGCAGACCTTAAATGCCTGCCCAGCTTTGTCACATGGATCTTTAACCATCATGTGTTGATGTAAATCCCTTGCAAGCTCCTCCACAAAGATGGAATGTTTTGAGTGAGGAGATCAAGAGGGAGAAAAAAAGAAGTCTCTTCATAAATTATTACTTTGTTTTTTTCCCAAGGCTGTCTGTCTCTCCCTTGTGTTCATTACCACTTCGTGCCTGAGATGCTCTTTACCAGGTTCAGGCATCATACTTTAAATCTGATATGCCATTCCAGTATTATGACCTATTTAAAATTCTACTTACAGTAATTGATCTTAGACCTTGGTAGTATTTTAGTCTGTTTTTGCTATTGTAACTAGAGGAAAATGAATATAAAGTTCACCTAAGAGCTTAAGAGGGAACGGCCAAAGGATTGTGGATGTGTCAACAGTCCTGACTGAGGTAGTAAATAACAGACAAGAACACTGTGTACCAAGCTGCAGCTTGTTCTGACAGAGAAATTTGGAAGTGAGGCTGCCTACCAATTGTCTAGGCATGGTTTTACTGATGGGGCTAGGAACAATGTACACGTATTTTTCCTTCAGTGTAGGATCGGCATCCATCAAGGATTCACAAGCTCCTAGAACAATACCATGTTTTTCCCTGAGTCTTCAAAGCAATGTGCCAGATGTAAATCCCAAGAGAAAATATAGTTCCAGGCAGAGACAGGGACATGCTTTGCCTCGTTCTTAGCTTGTCATTATAATCTTAGTCTTGATGAGAAGGGAAGAAAAAATGGAGAGAGAGGGGAGGATCTTATTTCTCTCAATTCCTTTTATTAAGACGACTCTTATCAGCCTTTCTCTGCATTTTGTGAAAAGAACTGCCGTTGGGTGGCTCACCTGTTTGTCAGTGTCAAATATCACAGGGATTAATTTATTTTTAAAAATATTTATGTTGCACTGCAGGCATCCATAGGTCTGAAAAGTTTTGTGTTTCTATAGTACATCTCAAGAGAAAATGAGCCATTCTTTTTGTATTTTTCTACTTTCTGCACAGAAATAGGTTATATACTGTGCTGCACTCATCTACAAACAACAGTCATCAGTGCTCCTGCCAGTGGTGTACAAGCACTCAGTAGTACACAAAGTTTGACTGTAATTTTCAGTACTTGTTTTATGGGCTTTCACATATTCATGTGCTTGTCAGAATAGCATTTAAATAAAACTGAACAGCCTCACTGGTTTCTGCACTGAGGAACACTGAGGCGTGTGAGTGGAGGTTTGTTGACAGAACAGCACTGCAAGACTGCCACCACAGACAAAGTAGCTCAAATCTACTTCTGTGGTTAATTAAAGGTTTTTCATTCCTACAAATGGCATTGTAACTCCATTAGCAAGCTGGAGAGACTAATAATTTCAGAAACTGAATAAGGAGCAAAAGATAAAATCACTTATATCTGTCATTTTTCACCAAGAAATCATACAAGCTGGAGTTTACTCTGATTAATTTTAAAAATGTTTTCAATTTTGAAGATAAGAGGGTAGTTTTTAAAATGATTTGCTGGACTGTTGCAGTGCAGCACCCACGCCACATGTGCCTATCCAGTACATGCCTGAGAGCCTCTCATGCCTTCTTTCAGCGTGCTGCTTCCTATTTCTTCTTATCTTTTGTACACTCATGATAACATGAGCTGGAGTAGAACAGAGCAGTCCCTTGATTAGCAGTACCTCTTTTGCCTTTGACAGACTTGAAGCATTAGCAAGTGTGATAGCTCCCAGCAGCTTGGATGTGGTGCTACGTTCCCTTAACTCAAGGTTTGCATCTGCCGGTTAAAAAGGCTTATGCTTTTTAACAACAACATTCTCTCTGCTGTACCACAAGCTTTTTTGCTCAGAGAGAACTGGGTGACCATGGCTGATGTTGTGACAGCAGCCATTTTATTTTAACAGGTAAGCAGGGATGTCACACTAGGTATGGCTGTAGAAATGGTTGGTGTGCTGGTTACGTGCACGTAGGTTAGATGGAGGGAGCAGACATCTGCATGAGACTTGGAAAAGGTACTACTTGCTAAGAACTCCTTTTGAAAACTCTCTTAGGAACCTACTGTGCATGTGTGCAGCTCCTAAATTGTCACTGACAGCAATAAATAGTCACTGACAACAATGAAAATTAAATTTTGCAGTGGGAGGAGAAAATTTTCCTGTTTGGAGAACTTTTCACTCAAGCACTGGGGAAGAGGAAAAAATAGACTGATTATAAGGATAAATAAGAAAGACTAAACATCTAGACTGGGACCCTGGATTCAGGCTTGGTCTTAATTAACAGTTTTTACTTATATACACAAAAAACTCTGTGTGCTCTGAGCACTTAAAACCATCAGTTCAGAGTTTGATTTACATAAGAACTTTGAGGTGTTTACACTTGCTTTAGATGAAAAGTTTATGATTATCTTTAAACACTGATCAAATATGACTACATAAGTTTCTGTACTGTAATTTAAACCACTGCTTTGTTGTAATAAAAATCCAGGGCATTTGGGTTTCCCTGTTTTTTTCAGGCAAAGCTTTAAAGCGGAGGCAGATTTTTCAGCCCAGTTTTGTTCTGAGCCCAGGCCAACTTTGAGAGAAAGAAGGATGCAGAAGCAGCAGCCCCAGAGACCCCCCTCTGACAGAGGGAAGGACAAGCATAGCAAACACTCCTGTTTACCTCCTTGGTCAGCACCACTCCACTGTCTCCCAGTGGCTGCTGCTGTTACAGCTCCTGTGAAGAGCCTCCAAAGTGCACAGGAACTCAGTAGTTTTATTCAAGCAGAAAAAAACCACACAACCAAAACCAGAGGTCAGCACCAGACTATTGCTCTGTATTTATTTCCAGAGTTGATGTGACACTATTAGCAGTCATCAGTGTTTCCCCTGAATAAAGCAGAAATATTAAGAGAATTTGAGCCGGAGGCACCATTTCTGCAAGCTCTGTTTAGACACATATTTAGTTTAAGCCTTTGATAAAACACACTGTAGAGTGAAAGGTCAATGCAAGTAGCTTTTATTATGATTATAAACAAGTGTTGCTCCATTACATGATTTAAAACTCACAGAGAAAAATACTAAACATGTTTTTTTCAAGCATATTTTAAAAGTCCTGTTTTCTACTTGCACATTTCCTAAAGTCCAAGTAAATAGGAGTGTTGCCAGTTATTTCAGAAAAAGCATGATTGACCCTATATATAGTACTCAGGCAAAAAATACTCCAACTAGTTTATTCCCACAAAAGGAAATCACTAATTTTACTAAATAAGCATTTCCTTGCAGACAGCTGTATAAAATTACTACAAAGTATTGAGATGTTAACAAATTTCAGAATCTTGTTTATCATTCTTGTCAGTGCTAGTAAAAGAATCAAAGTGGGTAGAATTTGATTAATTTAAATATTTCGCTGTCAAGATCAGCTTTGTCAAAATGTACAGAAAATGCTACACACTTATAACTATAGTCAGAAGCTCAGCATTTTGAAAATTACTTTTTTTAAAATGAAGTTTGTCTTGTTTTCCCATAACTTTTTTCCCCACAGATGAATGTATCTGGCTCTCATTCTGCTGTCTTATTCTTTTTTTAGCTTCCTGAAATGACTCATATTCAGACACGGCGACCCTGGTTGATGTTTCTCCTACAGAACCTTGGATTACTGTTAGGCTGGTTTTGCCTCTTACTTTTGGCTGTATTTGAACAGAAAATTAAAATATAAGTTTTCTGTTGGAAATCTCAAAGTACCACTTATGACAGTGGATAGCATTATTCACAATTTTGTTATGTCTGCCATAGTAATATGTAAATTAAGTTGCTGGGATTTTATATCTGAACAGTAGATAACTATTTTACTTTATTAACTTATTGTTCAGATTTTTGTAATTATTTTTTTGTAAACATGAATGTTTAGAATTCTGTTATATTTGTTACTGAATTTACCAGATCCCATGCTCAAACTCACAGGAGCTTTTGATTAGTTTTTATTGAGACTGTTCTAGTTGAATGTTCTAAGTGATCTCTGCCAGGCTGATTGAGGTAAAGAATAAAACACTTTTATATGCAATAATTAAAATGGACTAACCATAGTTGAATAATTTGAATATGGAATGGTTTTTTGCCTTTTAGTACTAAGAATTATTTCTTTAAATCTAAAAAGCATAGCAAAGCTGAACTGCTAAATGGCATAAAGCAATCTCATAAAGTTTGCACTTTATACTTTGTCAACGTAAAGATTCTCATCACTTACATCTTACTGGACCACTGTGGCAGGAAAAAATGACAAGTGTAAATGTTGAAGTTTATGATGCAGAAATTTGGGAATACTCTTTTTGGACTATAATGCAATTTCTCATATGTGTGATGGAACCTGTGACAGTCAAGCACTGGACTAACCACCTTTTGCATTGCCCCACCTGCAGTGGTTGCTTATAGCAACTCCTTATGAAGAATTACAAAAAATATGTTTAAATTGCTTTACCCTGATATGCCTTCCAAGCTTCTCAAATGAAGGGATTTCTTATTGCTTCTGAGACATCACATTCAATAAACACTTGCCTTCCTGTCAGCAATTAGCTTAATCATAGTTATGTGATGTGCATTGTGGAAAGAGCTTTTTCAATTGTCTAGAGATCATGTAGCCTCACTGCACCTTCTCCCATCCTGAGTGATTTTTGTGTAATTAGTCCTCTTGATTTCAAGTTAATTCTGTAGAAGTTGAGATGATTAATTTAATTTAGTTTTGCAGAACCCGGTCTGAAACAAATATACAAAGCTGAGCAGATTCCAGGAGGTATTGAGTAACACTCAGCTGTGTGATTTCAGCTCTTTACATGATCTCAATTTCTGGTGCAAGGACTTCTTCACTACCTTATTTATACTTTTGTATGAGAACTAAATTATGTTCTTTTTTTCTCCTCTGATGGGCTGTGGAAATAGGGAGAGCAAGTTATAGAACAGACATTTATTCTTTATGAAGCAACTGGAAGTTTTCTTTTCTTTGTCTAAACTCTGTCCTGAAATATCTCTACATTATGACACAACACGACTGTGTCACAACGTGTCCTGTGTTTATTTGATAGCTCCTAGTGAAGGTACAATTATTCTCATATTACAGAGGGGAACAGAGTCTACTGTCTGCAGCAGACTGTCACATCTGTTAGTTCTCAAAAGTTTCATGGGCACTATACTAACTTATCAAAATAGAAAGGGAAGACAATACTGAATGGCACTGTTTATGATAGCCCACGCTCATGGGCTTGTGAACTCTTAGTCAACCACTGACTGACCCTCAAGGAAAGAAAACCAAACTTAGAGATAATTTTAAAAGTAGATATAGATTCATTTTCAGTGCCTGTTAGTTACAAGAAGCTGTAGCAAATAACCCAATGCAAATCTAGACAAATTTAGACATGTACATTCTTTCAGAAACCTTGTCCCAAACAATTTATCCAAGGTAAGACAGAAGGTCTCTATCTGACAAGGGAGTCAACTGAGCTCTTTTAAAGGTCTGAAGTACAATCCTAGCTTCTTTTATTTAGGTGTGCAAATATTACAATTGCTTTTTATGTTAATGTAAATTTGAAAGGTGAGTTGAGAAGCCATGTCTAATGCTTCTGTTTTAAAAGTTGGGGGTTTTTTCCTGGAGCTTGTACTTGATTTTATTAAGTTAATCTTTTTTAAAAGTGGCTTCTCAGTACTTCATCTGTTTGTATTGGCACCGAGTCACTTCATGACCTTCAGCTGTGACAGTCAATTCAAGCAATAGCAGGGCATCACTGGACGTAAGCAAAATCTATTCTTGTATCAGATGGTGCAAATGAATATTGGAAACATTCATTATTTGAAAAAGAAGAGTTACCATGGTTTGAATGCTTGTGTATGCCTAATGTTTGCTTCCACGGAAAGCAAGATTACCAATACCATCCTGTTTTGGTAATGTTATTGTATTCTGAAATATTTGTCCACTATTTGTTAATGTGTCTGAAAGAGAACAAGTAATTTCGACAGAGTGTACTTTAAGGTTTCATATGAGCATAGGTTCCCATCCAGATATGTTCTGTGAACATATTGTATCTACATCTATTGAGAAAATGCCATCTTTTGGCTATATATGCTTATCAGGCATCTTGATCACATTTATCAACCAAATGTACTTGTACAGCTTCCACCACAGGCACAGATATATTGTCCAGAAAGCCAGTTAATCTTTATTTCTGTGACAGAGCTCTTTGGTTTTTGTGGTGTTTGTCAATAAGTGAGTAGTTCTGTGATCATTTTACCCTGGTATCAAACCTGAACACCTGAAACGTCATCAGCATATGAAAGTTTGAATTCCTGTGGCAATTAGAGAGAATTTATCTCACTACTTAAGGTTAGTGGCTCTGCTGTAAATCTCTTTACATTAGTGTCTTTAAAAAGATACTGAAGGTGGAGTATTACCATATGTAAACCAGGACCTCTAGCCTTACAGAGGGCTGGAAACTGCTCCTATGGATCATTAAAACGAAAAACTAAATAAATGTTTCTTATTATCTCTTCTCCAAAGAGATTCACCTGTCGACTTAATTGTTTTGGTCAATGTTCTCTAAAAATTCCAAAAAAATAATAGGATATGTTTTTGTGTCCTTACAAAAGAGAAGACTCAGCACAAGTGTTCTTATGATGCATTCTTTTTTAGTTTGTTTTAAATCTGTAGTTTGTTCATAGAGATTTGAAACAGATCTCTTTTTAAAGCCAGGTACATCTTTCTATTGCTTCAAGCCTAACAGACAGAGAGCATAATATGCCAATGTTTTCATTGAGTGAAATCCTGAATAGGGCCTGCAGAACTTCATCACTTGCAGCCCATAAACCAGGACTAGTTTTCTCTGTAAGAGGTGTGCAATTACTCAAACAGATGTTATGTGCTTGATGGAGAGATTACTTGGTGAAGTTTTACAGTCAGTCAGGCAGTTCTAACTAGATAATCATAACGTTCCTTTGAAACTTTAAATACATGAATCTAGAGATAAAGGAATTTTTCTGGAAGAAGCTGTTTAGTGTTTCTCCCTTTCATCTATTCTTAGTTTTCAGGCACTCTTAACATGGAATGATCTTGCTTTCCTACACAGAAAACCAGAGAGAAAAGGAAGGGTTGAAAGAATTTGTTTGCTATGCTATTTTTTCTTGGAAGTTAGATGGCAGAGGGCCTCATAAAGAATACTTCCAATTCCAAACCACCAGCACTCCTGAGAGCTGACCTTGTACCTCTCTTTTCTGTATATGTTACACATTATCCAGTGACTCCTAAGATAAATAGTTCCTCCTTTGCAGTCAGTTATAGTAATGCCCTCAAGTTTCTGGAGCTCATCTGCATGTTTTAAATACTGCCATCTATTCCTTTACTGTATTTTATGCTTTAAACATGAATGTGGCCTTTTCTGCAGAGACAGTTTTTCTTATAAGAAAACATTGTTAGTTTTGGCATTTACCCTTGAATTGTTTTTCTATCACCCTGCCATTGCACTTGAGAAAGCAAATTATCATTACAACAGTTTTGAACAGGTTTATATCTGTCTGATGTATGGATTAGAGCTGATACCCTATCAATGTTCCTAGCTTTTCCTTCTTTACAGTAACCTTTTCTCAAGCCTTCCTCTCATTTTAAAAATAAGCTGCCTTCTATGTGAGTGTAGCTGTAGGAATGCGACTACAGAAAATACAAGCAGTAGTTGCACAATGGCTTTAATCAAAACAAAAAGTCCTGCGATTTATTTCACCAGACCCACCTACATTCCCTTCTCCCCAAAAGAACAAAAAAATCCACACATGGAGCTGTTGCTCTGGGTCACGTAGGGGAATGTAAGAAGTGCCTCTTTCCTTTTATGTCCCTGATAACAGGACCAGCACAGACGCCTGGAGGCATCGGAGTCCCTGCCAGGCTGCGGCCGGCGGAGCAGGGCCCGGGGCAGGGCTGGAGCCGCTCTCGGCACGGGACGGGCCCGGGGCAGGGCTGGAGCCGCTCCCGGCTCGGGGCAGGGCCCGGGGCAGGGCTGGAGCCTCTCCTGGCACGGGACGGGCCCGGGGCAGGGCTGGAGCCTCTCCTGGCACGGGACGGGCCCGGGGCAGGGCTGGAGCCGCTCCCGGCACGGGACGGGCTCGGAGCAGGGCCCGGGGCAGGGCTGGAGCCGCTCCCGGCACGGCACGGGCTCGGGGCAGCCGGGCTCTCCCGAGGGGCACCCGCGGGTGGCACCTGGGCTCTGGCAGCGGGAGGATCCAAGGGTTTGTCCCGTCTCACTGCGGGGCACGTCGGTTCACGCTGCCTGCTTTGGGAGTGAAAACTCTCGCGAAAGCTGTCGGGCCGATCCGCCGTGAGCGCGGCTCCGCAGGGTAGTGATCCATCCGATCCACCCGCAGGATCCCGCAGTCAGGGTGATCCCAGGGATCCCCAGGGAGATCCATCTCCACCCTACAGCTGCGGGGCACCCAAACGGAGCGCGGCGTGGCAGCCTCTCTCTGCCAGGGTCTCAGCTCTGCCATTGCCAGAGAGCATCAAGCATTACCTGGCAACCCAAATCTGCCCAGCAACCATTTACATATTGGCCCAAGATAGTTCCTACCGGCTCTAACACAGTGCTACAGATAGGTCTGTATGTGACATCGTTATGTTGCACTGCAGCTGGCTGGGGAACCCTCCTCCTCTTCCCAGGGGCCAGGAGGACCTAATTTGACCCATCCAAGAGAGATGAAATGAGATATGCATAGGGAAATAGACCGATCAATTATTATGGCATATTCCAGTCTTGATTTTAGATCACACCAAATTGTCTTCCATACACTCTCATGCTGCAGACAATGCCTGCTCTGCTCTGTTGGGCGGCTGCCCAGGCTGTCCTCCTCAGGGCACAGGGCAGGTGAACAGCAGCCATAGCTCAGGCCTGGCAAGTGTTTCAGAGCATCCCAGGCGTCCCTGTATTGCTGGTGCACCCACCAGCACACCACCTGAGGAACACTCTTTTTAGCTTTTCTGGCAAGGGCTTTCTACTGTTTGTCTTTCCACCTGCTATGAAAATACCATAGCCCATATGATACAGGCTGTTATCTGTTCTTGTCCACCACCCATGGGGATAGTTTTGGACAAGTTTTTTTATTTCTTCAGAAAGGGAAACAATGTTGGAGAATTAACTGAGAATCACACAAAAGGAGGTGCTGGTACACAGTGGTACTAGTAATGCATCTCATTTTTGGAGAGACGCTGCTATGAGTACTGAGCACAAACACAAGAAAGTCATCTTTTGATTCCACACTGAAGTGTGTTGGTGTTATCTTGGTGCTCTTGGGTGATTTTATCACCAACAACTGGTAGAGTGCCCTAGTTTCAGGACTTCAAAGGCCGTATTCCTGTGCAAAGGCATAGTATGAGCTCTGAAGCAAGAGTACACCTACTTTTTGACTGTCATCCCAGTCCAGAAGAGGTTGGGTATTGAATTTAAGTATACAACCTAATGCCAGCAATATGCATGGTACAGTGACCCAGGAGCAGGTAGCTATGATTATCAGCAAGTTTAGAAAGGTGTAAATGGGCAATATACATCTGGTGGTTCAGTATGCCCAGGACAGCACAGCAGCATTCAGAAAACATCCACACTGGGCTATCGCCATGAATGCAATTCTTTTCCCAGGTACTATCTACATGAGAAGTCCCAGACATGCTAAAATCATTCTGTTACACTCCAGAACATCACTGCTGATATTTTTGCACAAAGTTCCACAGAAAAAGATAAAATGCACAATAAGGTCTCTTCTGTAACATGGAAAAAAACTGAACACAAGTGGCAACACACTGTAAATTGCACAGTGATTCCTCATGCTGCACACATGCAAAGCATCTCCCTTTTCACTTTGAGACTAACAGGGCAAAACTGATACAGAACAGGAAAGCCAGAACAGGGAACTCTCCAGAAGAAAGTCCTTATAGATGTGGAGGGTGTACAGGTGTAAATGGCAAAACAAACAACAAATATAGAAAAAATTACTCTCTCCTCTTTGCAGTACCTTCTCATTGACAAACACAAATCCAATACAATTCTCTTAAATGTTGCTGGAAAATATTGTGGCTAAGAAGGCAAGTTTTAGCACTGGAAATAGTTCACATATTACAAAATAGATGACTTTCAATAACTCCTAAACTTGAGACAAGCATTGAAAATATGATCTATATGTTCACAGGCATGTAGGTTGGAAATCATATATTCATAGTTGATCAAATCAGTGTAATTTTGTGCACAGGATGTAAATTCCATCTCAAGTAATGAGAGGGAAAAAAGCTTACAAGAGCATAGTCCATTTTCTATCATTTCCTACTACCATAAAACCTAGTTTTCAAATAGGCTTTTTGTACTTGCAATTAGCAAGAATATGCCATTTGTCTAGACAACGGAGTAGCTGAATATCTGATGTTTCTGGCATTATTAGAGTAGACTAAGAAAGCACATGACTATTTGCAAATTCCTTTCTAGCATGTAATATTTTAATACACCATCAAAATTCTTAAGTTGGAGTGCACACAATTAACCCTCATTCTTGACTGTGATTCCTGCTCATGGAACCATGTTTTCCAGAAGTAATTAAAATGTATTTCACTTGAGTAAAGTGGCTTTTTCTGTTTCCTTCCCTTTCTTTCACTTATTTTCTCCCACTAATATAATTCCTGATATATGTTAAGTTTCAGTTTTGGTGAAGAAAATCTGACTTTTTTCAGAGACATTTCCTTACTATAGTGTATGTTGGATCATGGGCAAGAGAGACTTCAGAAAGGATGGTTTGAATTCTGAGGAAGCATAAATAGAGAAAGAGGTTCCTACTTTTTTTTTTTTGGTTGGTTGGCTTGTTGTTTGAGGTGTTTTAACTTGTTTGTTCTATTTTGTTATTAGAAAGTGTACTTCAGCTTTAAAAGATAAAAAAGATTAAAAAAACCCTAATTAAAAATTTAAATGTCAAGGTGTAAATACCAATGTTGGTATTCACCAGTTTACATTAGACTGGAAGGGATCAGGTATTCTGCACATCTGCAATCACTCTTTTAAAGCTATTGCTTCCCAGCTGAGACATATTAACTGACCCTGGGCATGTGCCTAATGTTTTGAAAATTCTAAGGAAAACAACTGCTAACCACTTTCATTTCTACAGCCTACTAGTATTACAGATGAAGACACAGAAAAACAGTTTCTAATAATGGATAAATGTTGGATTTAGGCAATAAAAAACTGAAAATTTCTGGTGACTTGAAGGAGATATGTACTTGCAATACACTCTTGCAATTTATAATTCAGGTATGAATGTAAACTACAGCAATATAACGAGAGTTGCTTTTGAGTATCTTGTATTGATTTCAAGTAAGAAATATTCCATACTTTTCTCTTCAGAACACAAAGGGTATCTCAGACATTAAGAACAAACCTTCAGGTCCCTGGCTTTCTCATAAATTACATTTTTGTGCATTCAGAATGGCTATTTGAATAGTAAAAATATTTCCCTTTCCTGTCTTCAGCACTTTTGTC